AGCTCTTCGGTTTATCCTTATATTGTCAACAAAATTAATAAGGTAAATAATGTAAACATAAATTTTTAAGGTATAAATGTTCGCACACTATTATTAAGAATTAAAATAATGAAACAATTAACATTAATGAGGAAATATAAGTAAAAAAAAAAAAATCAAACACTATACTATGAATTATTTTAAACTTTAAACTTTTTAAAAGGTAGAGATTAAAATTTATTTATTTTTGTATTTTAAGAGAAAGGAATTGAATAAGGCATTTGAAAAAATAATAACCAAATAGAATTGGGCAACTTAGGACATTTCTTGTTTTTGGGGCATTCATGTGTTTAGACGTATGTGAGGTGAAAGGAAGAGATTTTATAAGCAAGTAAGCAACTATTGTGTATGCACTTAGAGCATGTTTGGTAAGAGTGATTTTTTGTGAAAATAAATTCAATTAAACTATTACCGTTATCAAGTGTTTGATTAGAAGGTTTGGGTAATAATTACTATTACGTAAGGGTAATGATTTTCACTTATTTGTTAATTCTCTATACCCTAAGGTAACAAGGTAACAATTACGCTTATCCTCCTCAACAAAAAGAAAATGAGCTAAATTTAAGTGATTCGTTCCATGATTAAACCAAACAAATAAAAAGGTGGGAGTTGAATGATTTTTTTTTTCTCCCTCTTATTTGTTTCTATTCCACTCCAATTTTAATATTTCTATCAAACACCACCTTAATAACTACGTACAACACATCTTTTCACTATTTAGAGAACTCACCATTGTAAAAATACTTCTTTGAGTTCTTTCTACAACATAACATGCGTGTTCAACAAAAGTTTGAAACAACCTTACCAAAAAAAAATAATAATAATAATAATAATAACAGACTTCATTTTTTTGCCCCATATTGTCAGATGTATGACTTGAATTAAAGAAACAACAAAAACTCGATCTCAGGGATCGATTTCGAATGGAGGTCAATTTGCCAACAATCAAGAATTAAAAATTTTGACAAATACATACCCTTTTGATAATCATCCCTTTCTTCCCCATCACATTAAAAATGAGGTAATTAGAATTCAAATTCTAAAAAAAATATGTGATAACTATGAACCTATAAGTAACTATCAAGCATGGGACAATAGAACAACAGTAAAACAAGTCTAAGATTGTTAGTAGTACTTGCTAAATTAGAAACTACTAGTAGGACTTAAGAAAGAATTACGTGAGGGAACACTATTTGCTTGTCTTTTGTTAGGCGTGGCATTCGGTGGTCAAGTAAGTTGGCTAATTTCTAGCAGCTTGCCAGCTTAGTCAGGCCTTTCAAGCCTCAATTCTCCACCAATGCATACCCAACTTATTTCAGAAACTTATGTTATATTTTTGTTCAGATAAGAACTACTTAAACCAATAGTAAAATTCAGATTAGATTAGATACACTTATTAAATATTGACAAGAAAAAGCAGACGACATCAGACCACATCAGATAAATTCAGACTAGATCAGACCAAGTTTTAAAATATTCAGACCAGAACTACTTAGATCAGTTTAGTAAAATTCAGATCAGATCAGATACACTTATTAAATAATGACAAGAAGAAGCAGACGAGATCAGACCACATCAGACAAATTCAGACTAGACAAGACCAAGTTTTAAAATATTTAGACCAATATTAGAATTTTTTTGTTAAAACCTTATATCAGATGAAGAGAACAAGTCTTTTAGTTACCAACGACTTGTTTGGTAAGTGGTTGTTAACTGTGATAATGTGAATGAATTTGTATACATGAAGTGAAATTATATTGTATAAGAAATTAATGTCTTTTTCCTGGATCACAAATTTTCATTATCAATACCATTTGAGGCATGGGTGAGCATGGGACGGGTACCCGTACCGTTAACACTATTGGTTCGGGTACCCGATAACCAATAACACTAAAAATGATATCCATTATCCGAACCAATAAGTTCGGGTACCCGAACTTCGGGTACCCGGATTTTCGGTTCGGTTATCGGGTACTCAATATGATATCCAATAATAAAAATTTAGACTTTATAATATAGTTATTATGATATCATTCAACACTAATCAACAATAATACCACATGATCATGACCAAATTACTAATAGTTACTAATCATTTAAATTATGAAGTGATTACGAAGTAAAGTAAGAGTTTAGATTTTGGATAAATAGATTTAAGTAGGAAAAAAATAAGAAAAAATTGCTTATCGGAACGGATCGGGTAACCGTTAATTTTAAAATGATACCCGATAACCGTACCCGATAACAAATTATCGGATCGGGTACCCGAACCGTTATGGTTATCGAAACGAGTACCCTAATTTTCTGTTCGGTTACGGTTCGGATTTTCGGGTTTTCGGTTTTTCGGATAATTTTGCTCAGCCCTAATTTGAAGGTGGTAATGGACATTTATGAATAAAAACATAAGTATGAGAACGAGATTTATTAATATGGGAATATTAGAGTGTTATTTTACTAGTTAAATTACACTTAAATTCATTTGTATTACCATTGTTTATGACTGATTACCAAACGGGGCCACAATTGCTTATTCATTGGACGAAGGAATTTCCACCACTCCTGTAATTTGACGGTTTAGTGCTAGATACGTACTACTTCGTGTGTAACATGGAAGATGTGCTATCTATATTATGCACATGTTTTTCAAACCTCATTTCCCCTTTTGCATTTTCTTGTATCCCCAAAAGTTGTCGTGTTAACGATTGCAATATAGATGAAAGATATTGATGAGGAAACTTGTTAATTTATTCACGTTTCACCGTATCATTTTAGCACAAGTATGTTAACTCGTATAGGCCTTATCTGACATTTGATCGTGGCTATCGACTATTTGATCTGCTGTTTGTATTTTTATTTTTTCATTTTTTTTGTTAGCTGTTCGACTTTTTATTTGTTTAAAAACACATTAGATAAAATTGGTTATTGGTGTTATTAGTAACATATGTATTTTGGCTAGCTGGCTGAAAAGAAGAAAAAAAAAAAAAAAACATTTATCAAAAAGCCATTTATCAAATAGATTTTTGGATATTTGATTAAATGAAGAAGCCAAAGTCAATCATAATGAAAAACCATTTACTAAACAAGGCCAAAGATTAACAACATATGTTGAGCTTATTAAGAAAAATATTAAGTTCGGGTTCAAAATTTCAATCCATATTTTTAAATTTATGAGTACATGTTTTTATATTTATAAAAAAAAATATAAAAAATTGATACTTTGCCAGTATACATCAACAATCCTACATGTTCATACTTTTCCTATGTATGAATCATCAAATATCATCTAAGTGGTGAAATATGTGAATATTATAGAAGTTAAATTATTGTAACAAAAAAGAATGAACAATGTAATTTTCTTCAATGTGCAATGAATATTTTTTTTAAATAGAAGTATTGAGAACTCAAGTTTCAGAATTAGAAATGAAGATTCATTTATTTATATCTACTTAGACCTGATCAAGTTGAGCCGGTCCGCTGGCCTGCCCCAATTTTGGGCGAACTTTGGGCAGTTTTTTCCAGCCCGACCCGATTTTAAAAAAATTTGGGCATGCAATTTTAGTTGTTTTTTTGGCCCAGCCTGAAATTGGCCCGAAAAGCCTGCACGGCCCGCCTAGTTTGGGCGACTTTGGGCACACATTCTCCGCCCTGAAGTTTGGCCCGGCCCGACCCGTTGAATGGAAAAAAATTTGACCTTGGCCCGCCCCGCCCATTGATCACCTTTATATCTACTACATGTTTTTGAATCAAAATTCTTCCACAATTTAGTGTAGAGAGAGGGGCAAAGCAAAAAAATATATGAAAACAAGATTCAATTACAAAATTTGAACATCACTCTTAGGAGTGTTAAAGAGCTGAGCCTAGACTGAGCCCTTCGAGGCCGTCTTGACCTCGATACGATAATGGTGAGCCCGGGCTTGGCTCGAGCTCGGTAATGTCGGGCTCAGCTCGAGCTTGTAGCTCATCGAGCTTGAGAATTCGATCGAGTTTGGTCTGAGCTCAAAACCCCCAAAACTGGCTTGACTTAAGGCTCAACTCGAACTCGACTCAGGACTTGATTAATAAATTTTCGACCTACTCTCAAATTTACTTGTTTTTTTTTTTATAAAGTTAGTTTAATTGATATCAAAAATTCCTCAAATATAGCCCCCATATATGACAATAACCTCCAAGACCTAGTTGTCAATAAATAATTATAGGCTACAAATTATTATATAAAAATAATATATTAACATATAAAATATTCGAGCTTTCAAGCTGAGCCAAGTATAGCTCAGGCTTGGATAATATCTCGAGCCGAACCCACACTCGAGACAAGCCTGCTCGAGCTAGCTTTAACTATTCTGAGTATAGCAGTGAGCAATTTGCGAGCAGGCACGCCTCATCAACACCCCTAATACTCACACTCAAACTAACTAAAATTATTGACATTCATTATTCTACAAACATACTAGTATATGTATAATTAAATGATATTGTACTCATTTTTGAAGGTGGGCACGGGTCAAGTTGGGCTTTCGGCAAAAAATGAGTCTATTTAGGCCTAAAAACAGGAATGAGCCCAATTTCAAGCCACAATTTGTAAGCCCAAATAAGTCAAAATTGGCTTGGTCAAAGCGGGCTTTTTGCTGGTCCTAACCCTCATATGGGCTAAGATATCCGAGTACATTGCAAGCTTAAAGAGATGATGCCCAAGGGCTAAATTTTTCCCAAAATATGGGTCGGACCGTCGGACTGAGACCTAAAATAAGAGCCGTAGAGCATGAGTAGATTTTACTCATTTTAGTAGATGTTTTTTATTTTCAATGATAGCAAGGAACATAGTGCAAGAGAAGAACAGTATTCAACAAATCTGAATAACATAATCTAATGATTCAAGATCAAAGTTCTATCAAAACTTAAACTTTACAAATGCATAAATTAAGTAGCTCCATTGTCATGAATACTATCTTTAACTCGACTATAGCAAAAACAATTCGAGTACTTTCATATCTTTAAATACGTCTTTTACAAGCAAATTAAATCACGAACTTAATCCTAGTAACTTTAAATAATCAACCCTTATCTTTTTTTTTTTTTTTTCGTTTTTTTATAACATTCGCTTAGAGAATTTTAATTAATGCAACTTGTAATAGAAAAATAATATCCTTTCATGAATTGCAATTACGTAACCCGCTAAACTACTCGATCATACAAAATAACTACTAATTTTTTCCTTAAAGTAAAAAAGATTAAATGTGCAAACCCTTATTACAAGGGACAATACTCTAAGATAGAAAAATACTTACACACACAAATAAACAACATTTAAATATACAAATGTACCTAATTTTCCTCTTTTTGGTAGAATAATCAACCTAATTTCACCAACCAATCAAAAAAAAAAATCTTTAATTTCCTTCACTCAAACCAAGCCAGCAGAATCAGGCAAACCTTGCCAATGATCATGCCTATCAAAATCCCTTCTTGCAGCCAAAACACGATTAATTTCTCTTTCTTTCATAATCTTAGCTTGTTTTTGACTAACAATAGTTCGACAAATAGGGCAAATACAATGACTTGAAAGCCACTTATCAATACAAATCCTATGAAACAAGTGCTTACAAATCTTGAGTTGTCTAAGCTCTTCTCCTTCTATGAAATCAGCTAAACATATTGGACAATCTACATCATCTTTCCCTGGTGTCGAGCTCGAAGCGATTACTAACTCTACGTTGTTTTTATCTTTGTTACTTGTGTTTTCGCCGTCTTCTTCCTCGGCCACTTTAGATGACCTTCTTGATGGATCAATGGTTTCGACACCGGTTCTACGCCGAAGACGGCGTAGGAGGTCTAAAGGGTTTGGAGGGCAGCTTATGAGGAAGAAGAAGGTGTATAGTATGGTGGGTATGATGATCATTATTAGTAGCATAACTATGAAACTAATAGATGACATCATTTTTTTTTTTTTTTTTTTGAGATGTAAAATAAAGGTGGAATTTTTTGAGGAATAATAATTTGAATGATTATAAGAGGAAGAAAGGGTAAAGGGGTTTAATGGTTGTGGTTGTGGATGGTGGTGGGTGGTGGGTGGTGTTTCTATAACTTGCCAATCAAATTTGTAAATTCAATAATTGAGGGGAATGCTATTTTGATGATGGCATTACCATGTTAAGACAAAAGAGTGTAAGTAATGATAATGTTGTCTTTATGAGCTTGTCATGTGGCACCATAATAATTATTGTTAAAAAGGAACGACTTTTATGAGTGATACTACTATATATGCTTTGAAAACCTTGTTTGCCTGTTCATTTAAAATTTAGGATGTATGGCAACAGTAACTTAAATGAGAATGAAACTGATAAATTAAGGGAGTAGCTGAATTGGATAAGGTGTTGAAATTGATAAGATAGTTGATTAAATTTGGTGTTTGGTAAAAGTTATTGTTTAAAAAATTTAAATTGTTATTAAAAAAAACTTTTTAACAATTAAAAAATAGACGGTCGTTTTCCGTGTGGCTAGCCACACCATGTATGTGGCCGGGGGTACTTATTTAAGGGTGATTTATTCAAGGGTTAGTCAATCATTTAGGGGTTACTTATTTTGGGGTTATTCGGTTAGCGCATTTTCTATGTGATAGGCCACACCGTGTGACCGGCTAACACACACCAAAATACTTAACGAGTAAACTCTGACCGACCGAGTAACCCCTAACTAAGTAACTCCTGACCAAGTAACCCCTGAATAAGTAACCCTGGCCACACGGTGTGGCTAGCCATATATGAAAATTTGTAAAAAATAGAAGGTAATAAAAGATATTTTAATTTCTCCATTTTCTTTTAAGTGCAACACTTTGACTTTTAAACATTATTCATTCACTGCACTTTGATTAGTTGTGATGATTTATAACAAAAAAAAATATAGTCGTGTGGGATCTTATTAGATTCGTCTTGGTTTATACTTTATTAATATCAAATGTTAATAATTTTTTCATATTAGTATGTGTGAATGTGCTTGTCAATCATTGTAATATAAGATGTGAAATTGATATTGGATCGAAAGGGATAAGAGACAAGTAGGGAGCCGCCAACAAGTTTATAGGAAACTTGTAACCCGACTCGTTCATGAATTTTAAAGAAAGGGACAAAGATAGTCACGATTTTTATTCCATGAAGATTATACCTCATTCACAATTCATGAGATTGCTAACTGCATGTGGTCATGAAACACAACTGGAAGGTTCAGGGATGATGATATAAAATTGAATCATGAAGACAATTTCACCCGTATTGGACTCTATTTAAAACTTATAACGATATGTATAATTGCAATCGAAAAAAAATACAAACAGAAATTCAATTTGCTCCAAACTAAATTATACTAAGTCGGTTGAATATTTAATGCACATATAATTGCTAATATTGTGACCAAACAGTTAACATACTAATAATAAGATTATTTTGGACAACCTTTTATGTGCATTAAATATTCAACCGAGTTATAATATTAGCTTGAATAGTTCGCCAAAAAGGGTTAGTACAATGAGTTGAAAGACACTAGGGAAAGATCGATGATGTAGATTGTCCAATATGTTTAGCTGATTTTATAGAAGGAATAGTAATTTACTAGTGATTTTCAAATGCTGGTCTTGCTTAACATGATTGTGATTAAAGCAATAAAATAATAAAATCATGTATAACACAAAATAGAATGTGACAAATAAATATTGAAAGCAACCTAACCTAGCATGATACTAATAATTAAATTATCCCTAACATGATACTATCATAATAAATAAATAAAGCAATTAAAATAAGAAGGATTAATCACTTCCGTCGAACGAGCTTTTTAAATTGCTACATCGCAAATAAGTTGTTAGTAACTTCGAAGTAATGAAAAATCAAAATGAATAGATTAAAATAAAGAATTTACCAAGGTTGGAAAAATTGATATAGCCCTCGGGATTATACCACTATGCTTGGTCCAAAGGTAACACCTTCTAATCTTGTCTCAGATTTTTGAATCACTTAAATAGAGAATTCTAGTGGAACTATTACGTTGTAGTCTAGGTCTCAGGTTAATGAAAATGGTACTTCCTCTATTACATATTATGTGCAATTTTAGGGTATTATTTATATGAGGTATAAAAAATTCGAAAGTTGCACATAATATGTAACAGATGTAGTATTTAGGATGGTATTGGAGTGCTGAATTCGTCTCGTCGGGTGGTCGAATTCATGTCAAATATTCGAAAGTAGGTCGGTATTTACAAATTGAAAATCGAAAAAAGATAGAGAGGTTGGATACAACACACGGATATGCGCCGTGACACACGGAACTACATTGTGTTGCGGTGCAATTTAGGATAAAAATTGGAAAAAGATGAGAAACTACGTCGCAACACGTGGCAATACACCGTGACACCTGGTTATGCACTGTGACACATGGCATTGTGCGTGACATGTGGCAATGTGCCGTGATACAATGTGATTGGTGTCGTCTAGGGGTATCCGGCAAGGGGATCCTATCACCTTACTTATTTCTCCTTTATATAGAGACCTTTCTAGGGCTCTTAACAAAGGTGGCAAATGAGAGATTAATTCATATGGTGCTCAAGTTTGCAGGGGTGCTCCCTGGGTTTTCCACTTATTTTTTGCAAATGACAATATCGTTTTTGCTAAAGCGACGCTACAGGAGTGCTCTAAAATTGCTGACATTATTAGTATTTATGGAAGAGCATCTGGGCGGTATATTCCTTGAGATACCCCACTAGCCGTTGTACTTTTTCGCACAATTATTGTAAAAGATGGTGATGCTGATAATAAATAACTTAGATCGTATTATTTTGCACACATCGATAAAGACGATAACAATTGGGATTATTTAAGTAAATTTTTCCAAAAATTCATCCAAAAAAAACAATTGATGATTTTTTTTTTGTCATGTACAAGGTTTGAACCTATTTGGTATGACAAATTGACGAGTAGAATTAATCTCAAGGACGTTTTTCCAAAGTGAGCCAATTTTGGCAAATATTAACCAAAATGGTTGCGTGGCAAAAGTATTTACCAAACTAAGCTTCCAGGCTAAAACGCTGTCTCGGTCAGCGTTTTATGCCTGAGTTTTTTTTTTAAAAAAATCAACCTAAAAACGCTGTATGGGACAACGTCTTTGTTGTTGACCTTTTTTTTTTAATTTTTGTAATTGCCTTTTATTTATAAAAATGTTTTTAAAAAACAAAAACAGTTATACGAAAGACGCTGTCCCAGACAGCGTTTAACTCTGGAACTATAAACGTTGTCTCAGACAGCGTTTAAGGTTATTAATGAAACGCTGTCTCAGACAGCGTTTCTGTCGTTTTTTTTTCCCTGCACCAGTGTATTTCATCCTTTCATTTCCTCCTCCTTCATTCTCAAACCCCTTCTTTCCCAAACTCTAACTTAATCCCCCCCTCTCTCATACTTGTGCTCCTCCGTATAGACCGCCGCCGGCGCCGCCACCTCCACCATCGCCCGCCGTCACCTCCACCGTCGCCCTCCGTGTAGCCCACTATACACTCCCCTCACCCTGAAATAGGTATTCATTCAACTTTGTTTGTATTTTAAATTCTAGGGTTTATGTTGGTGATTTCTAATTTTTTTGGAATTGGGTTAAAATGTTGATGAGGTTGAGTTGTTAGTGTTAAAAATGTTGAATTGTTAGTGTTGGTATTGTTGAATTATTAGTGTTGGTAATTGTTGAATTGTTAGTGTTGATATTGTTAGTGTTGGTAATGTTGAATTGTTGTTGTTGGTTTTGTTGAAAATTGTTGACAATGGTTGATAATTATTAGGTTTTGAACAATTGTAATTACCTACATTGTTGTGTAATAATGGTGATTTAGGGGTTCTTAGTAGTTAATTTGTATAGTATGTAAAAAAAATTTGTTTGATTGTGGTGATTTAGGGATGATTTAACGGGTTTACGTAAAATGTGTTTTGGTTGTTATGTAGAATATGGCTGGACAAAATGTAGCGTTGTTATGTTGATGGGGAGGTGAAATTTTGTGTAATGGATCAAATGTGGAGTACAGTGGAGGGAATATGGACCTTATAACACTTGAACCGAACATGACTGTGTGAGGTTCACAGTTGTATTGGTTCAAACCCTATGACTGTTGAACTGAACCTTAAAATGAGGTGTGATACTGGTCATGGGGTGCAAGTGTTACCTGTCTCTACGAACATACATTTGAAAGGTTTGAGGAGCATGGTAGGAATGAAGGGTTTTCCCAATGAGATATATGTAGAAACAGTGCCTATATGTACCCAACAAAGTACTCGGGCAGAACAGCAAGCTACATATGTCTCTGATTACAACACCGCGTCCTTCCAAGAGCCCGCAAACCACATTCCATCGAATGCATATGGGATGGGTTCTTTCACTCGAATGATGCAGGACGACCAATTTCACTTGCCTTTTAGTTCTCATATAGCTTCACCAGTACATGCGGGGGGACGCGTGACAGTGTTCGGCCAGCCTGCTCCGTCGTCATCGAACACCGTGGCATCTTCGCCGATGCAATTGCATAGCTACTCTCCTATGCAAGGTGATGATGGTTCACCGTTTCGAGAAGAGCCTAATCATTTTGATGATGTTGTGAATAATGAATTGTCGGTGTATGATGTGTATGCGGAAATGGATGATGAGGACGAGAACGGAGAGGGGGATGATGAACCTACACAGGTGGAAGATGGTCAGCCGTTGGTTAAAACTCCCATACCTTGTTTCAGTGAGGTACCCGAGAACTATGAAGTTGATCAGTATTGGGCCGAGTCGGGTAGCCACACCTCTTTTGTTCCCGGGGGAGAATTTGAGAAGGGAATGTATTTTGAGAGCAAGAAACTGCTTCAAGAAATGGTGAAGATGTATTCTATTCAGAGGAATCAATTCTACACCACAGTGACCTCGAATGATGGTGTCCTACATCTGCGATGCAAGAAGAAATGTGGTTGGATGCTACGGGGTACCAAATCGAGTGAGCACTCACGTGGTTTTACCATAGTCACGTACAAAGGCCCGCATCGGGAGACATGTGTCAGTGAAGTACTATCTAATGATCACCCACACTTGGATTCGTCCGTAATAGCCGAGTATGTGAAGTCCTTTGTGCGGAAAGATCCTTCGTTGAAAGTGGAATTCATACAGGAACTGATCTCGAAGCAATTTCATTTCGGTGTCCCGTATCGACGAGCGTGGTATGCCAAGGAGAAAGCTATAGCTGAGATATTTGGGGATTGGGAGAGTTCATATGGTAGACTTCCCCACTTCATGCAAGCACTCCTACGGTCGAACCCGGGAACATGTGTCGTATGGAAACACAAAGCTTTAGTGGATGGTGTATACTACAGCAACATGGAAGTGTTTGAACGAGTGTTTTGGGCCTTCGGTCCTTGTATCGATGGCTTTAAACATTGTATGCCTGTTATCTGTATCGATGGGACGCACTTGTACGGGAAGTATAAAGGAACACTGTTGGTTGCTACGAGTGTTGATGCAAGCTTCCAAGTATTTCCTATTGCATCTGCGGTGGTTGAAGGGGAAAACACTTCCAGCTGGTCTTGGTTCCTAGGTTGTATTCGAGATCGTGTCACGCAACGGGATGACCTTTGTGTTATTTCTGATCGGCATCCTGGGATCATTGCAGCAATGAATGATCCCAATGTTGGATTCACCCAGCCCCGAGCGTATCACAGGTTTTGTGTCCGCCACATAGCCTCTAACTTGAAGACTCACGTGCGAAGTAACGACATGAGAGACATGTTCAAGGCCGTTGCGTACCAAAGGCAAGAAAGAAAACTTCAAGCTGATCTGTGTTTCATTGGTGAGGCATGTCCCAAGGCCATTGAGTACATTGCTCAAGTTCCGTTCCCTATGTGGTCTCTGTTTCACGACAGTGGTCGCAGGTATGGTATATGTACTACTAACTTCTCGGAGACATTCAACAATGTGCTGAAAGGAGCTCGGTTTCTACCGATTATGTCCCTTGTCGAGTTAACCTTTCACAGAGTTAACAAGTATTTCACTTTGAGAAGGGAGTCTTCTGAGGCTAGGTCTGATCAGGGACTTCCATACCCCCCAAAGGTCACTGCCATCCTCGAGAAGAACACCGCTAAAGCCAGATATCATAGAGTGGATGCCTATAACCGGCGATTGCATATTTACCAAGTGACAACAAAGAGGGGAGAGAGAGTTGGTAATAAAGGAGGCCACAAGCATACGGTGAACTGCCAGTTGAGAACGTGTACGTGCAACAAATCGAAGATATTCCACCTCCCATGTTCTCATGTGCTAGCAGTCTGTGCTACATACTCACTATCAGAACGGCCTTGGGTGGACCCTCTGTTGCAGTCGGCTGCCTACATGAACACCTATGCACCACAGTTCTGGCCGATCCCCTGCGAGACAACCTGGGCACAGTGGGCACAGTACGTAGGCCCTAAACTCATTCCGGACGGCACAATGATACGTGGAAAAGGTCGTCCAAAGTCGAAGCGCATATGCAATGAGATGGATGACAGCAACCGGCCCCCAACCAAATGCAGCCGTTGTCACCAGCAAGGTCACAACCGCACTACTTGTCCATCTAGACCAACATAGGACCTAAGTGTATATGTGTTATTTGATATAGTAGTATGTAGTGGTGTTATTTTGATGAAACAGTTATAATTTTCTACATTATGTGTTATTGTGTTCAATTCGATGAATTTTATTTTGTACGTTGGATGTTCGAGATTTCCTGTTTATGCCTTTCAATCGAAATTAGTATTCAATATATTGTGTTAGTGTTTGGTGTGTAACGTTTTCAATGAACAGATATCATGGACGTACAGGATAGGACACCCGGACCTGTTGACCCTTCTGTCCTGACACTACAGGACACCCATCGGAGCGTCGACGTATGGAACCTGACGGTAATGATTCATCTTTAACGTTTTTGGATTCTTTGATGTACTATCTTTTGTTACTTATAAATGCTCCTGTGTTTTCAGGGTGACGTAGCGAAGCCACTACAGTGCAGGCACTACAGGACCCCCTGGGTTGTCCATGATCGGTGCCTTGAGTACGTGACGTACGCTGGCTTTGGCGGTGTACATCGCTTGGGATTCAGGGAGATCGACCGACACCTTGTCACGGCGTTAGTGGAGAGATGGAGGCAGGAGACGCACTCCTTCCACCTACCAGTTGGGGAGGCGACTGTGACATTGCGGGACGTGGAAATACTTACGCGCCTTCCAGTACAGGGGACTGCGGTGACGGGATCATTTCTAGTCGATCCCGTTGGATTGGTTGTGCGGGTTCTCGGGGTGCAGCCGGGTCCCAACGATGTTAGGGGCTCCGCCTTGAGGACGGTCTGGTTACGAGATACTTTCCAGGGCTTGCCTGAAGAGGCCGATGACGCCACTTGCAGCTTATTTACCTACAGCTGTTAGACCACGACTGGGAGCATATCCGTGGATACAACTGGGGTAGTGCCTCTTTGGCGGTGTTGTATCGCCAACTTTGCAGAGCCTCACGGAGTGGTGCGCTCGAGATTGGAGGACCTCTGTTTGTGCTTCAGGTATACTACGTATATTATCACAAGCGAATTATGCAATGAGTAATGTCATATTTAACATAGTTTTGTGTTTTGCTATTGAAGCTATGGGCTTGGGAGCACATCCACGTAGGAAGACCAGGTAGGCCTGCTGTACATCGTCCAGGGCAGCAGGACCAGGATGACCAGTATGAGCCGTACATCGCTCCGCCTCGCCCTGCAGCTGATGAGGCTTACGGTTGCAGGTTTGTAACAATTGTCATTTTTTTCCCATATACGATTTCATTTTGTAAACATACTTACCAAATTTGTTGCCCCAGGTGGATGGTCCCCAGACTCACACAGGCACATGCGGCGACGGGTCTCCCATACTACCGAGACGCCCTTGATCGACTCACTGAGGATCAGGTACAAACTCTGAAGACATTTGTAATCATTTAGGTACTGTGTATACTGATTGTGGACTAACTTATTTAGGATGTGTTATTGCAGATCACATGGGATCCGTATGTACCGGAGTTAGTAGATGTCATGCCTGCACATCTACTGGAGCATCAGGGAGAGTGGCGTGCCCGTGTCCCCCTGATTTGTTTCGAGGTTGTGGAGAGTCACCTACCTGACCGCGTCATGCGACAGTTCGGACTGCAGCAGCTTATTCCCCAGAACTGTGACACTGTCGTGCGCCTTCACGACATTGACCGTCGGGAAAAGACGGAGACAAACTGGGCACTGGAGCATTGGCAGTATCTTCAGCTATGGGAGCAGCGGTTGGGTCATGTCGTTCAGGGTTATCCCATGCAGGGCGTTATGGATCATGACGATCCGTACATGGTGTGGTACAGGCTTATCACACGTCGTTTCATCAACCCCAGCTACACACCACCGTCCAGCCATTACCACCCGGCACATGACGTCATTAGCGGATATGTGAGTTTCTTTTACTATACTTATCATCCTCATTTTTTAACTTTTTTAAATATCATGTACTTGACTGATCGATGATTACTACAGGCGGCGGATATGGTGGCGATGTATGATGCACTGTCCCTCGCCCTTACAGACGGACCCACCAGAGCCCAGGTCCAGCGGATGCGAGATATGTCCGCGACTTCCTTACGCAGACATGGTCACGGTCATCTCATCCAACAGCGGGACGATGATGATGGTCACTCCATCCATTCGCGGTTCGACCCCGGCCAGAGTAGCAGTGGAGGTGATCCTACGTCGCACACAGAGGCAGAGGAGTACATCTTCCACAGTTCTGCACCCTTCAGAACCCAGGAGGACGCATCGTCCAGCCAGCTCACTCCCCCCCCGCGCCGGAACCCATTCACCACCATTCACCATTACACTCGGCGTCGTCCAAGACGAAGGGACGATAGTGAGGTTAGGGAAGGGTTACACCAAATTGATGAGTAGTGAACGTATTGTATCATTGTTTTGTCCTTTTTCCTGGAATGCTGTATATAACGATTGCATTATCAATATAAGACATGCTGGTTGAATGAATCTGTTTGTGTTTTGAAGTTTTGTTTGCTTATTTATCCAAATCGGATTTATATCAGTCAAAATAGATCCTTTAGGGCTAATGTACATTAAACAACAGACATTTGGAATCCATAGTCGAAAATGGGGAAGAAAGGATGGCCCGTGGTGGTTAATGTGGTTGTTCATGGTGGTTTTAGTGTTGTTGGTTGTGGTGGGTGGTTATCGACGGTTGTTGAATGGTTGGGGTTGGTGGTGGAGCTGGTTGAAGTGCTGTTGGAGGTCAAAAGTGGTGGCAGATGGTGGCCGATGGTGGGGGTTGTTGGTGGATTGTGGTGGCAAGAATCATGGCAGGGGGTGGTGGGTGGGGGCAGAAGAAAGTGGCAGATCAGTGGCAAAAGGCTGATTCTGCTGCTGTTTTGCACACCAGCAGAGAAACGCTGTCTCAGACAGCGTTTTAGGTTAAAAATAAGACGCTGTCTGAGACAGCGTTTTAGGTACAAGGAAGTTTGTACATAAAGCGCTGTCTGGGACAACGTCTTTGGTATAACTGTTTTTGTTTTTTAAAAACATTTTTATAAATAAAAGGCAATTACAAAAATTTTAAAAAAAAGGTCAACAACAAAGACGCTGTCCCAGACAGCATTTTTAGGTTGATTTTTTTTAAAAAAAAAACCCAGACATAAAACGCTGACCGAGACAGCGTTTTAGCCTGGAAGCTTAGTTTGGTAAATACTTTTACCACGCAACTATTTTGGTTAATATTTGCCAAAATTGACTCACTTTGAAAAAACGTCCTAATCTCAAATCCAATATTTTTGTCCCCAAAAAAATCCATAAATCACATGGTATTCACGTGGGAGGGACTGAGGGAACAGTCCACTAGATATCGTAACTACTCGTAAGCAACCTTCACTATCAACAAGTACTCCGTAGTAGACTAGTAGTAATCCACCATTTTCGAAATTCGTACAAATACCCAATTTCTCTTTTCTTCAATTGCTACTTTGGTAGCTAGATCTTGCTTTTCGAAATTCAATTGCAGAAGACAACTATTTTCTTAAACTTCAGATTCACAAGGTGGGGTGAGCTCAAACTTTTTTTTTTTTTTTTTTTTTTTTCTTTGCTTAGATTTTGATTTTCATTGTATTATTCCGGAAATAGGTTAGTACTCGTGCAATGCACGAAAATGTTTGTAAAATTTATTTGTTAGTAAGAGAATGTAAACTCATGTGTTTATTACTCATATTAAAGATTTTACTAATTATATACATAGTACTCATCACAAAATGGTTAAAAAGAAAAAATCTCAATACAAATGAAAAAAAAAGTTTTAATAAGCAAATTTAAATGAAAGTGTTTTGAAATGTGTTATAGTATTGCAATAAACGTGTATGGAATAGTACATAATAAGTATAGTTTAGAAGATTAAAATAAATTATAAATACATTTAAATGGGCAAAAAAGAATTATAGAGAAGCTGTCATATAGAGAATGGTGTTGTCAACGGCTTTTGTTTTAGTACGAAGTATTAGTTATAGATTTTCCAAATAGTTTGTATTAATTTCTCTATTATGCAGGGTTTAAGGTGATTTGCGGCGAATTTGATAGCTTTGAACTGTTAATTAAATCTCAACAAGCATACATTCATGGCAGATGTCAGGGGTAAGGTTTTGAATTTTGATTTTTATTCTGAATTACTGTTATATTTGTTATTGTTAGATTTCGGGAAAACTCTTCAAATAAGAGTGTGTACCATTGATCAATATATATAGAGTTGTACAAAATATCGTAAACCTAGTACGATAAGGATACAAGGAAAATATAATTATTATCCTATTCTGCGACAAATATTATCATTACTATAATATCTATCACACCCCCGCAGTCATAGCGGGAGGAGGTCGTACGCTAAGACTGGATCTAAAATCAAAAAATAACTCCCGTGGTAAGCCTTTCGTGAAAATGTCCGCAAACTGATATCTAGAAGGGACATGAAGAACCCGAACTTCACCCAAAGCAACCTTTTCTCGAACAAAATGAATATTTATCTCCACATGTTTGGTACGTTGGTGTTGTACCGGGTTGCCAGAAAGATAGATAGCACTTAGATAGCACTGACATTATCACAATAGACTATAGTAGCCTTTCGAAGTGGGCGATGTAACTTAAGTAAGAGATTACGAAGCCAACATGCCTCAGAGACAACATTAGCGACGCCTCTATTATGCTACTGCACTTGATTTAGACAATGTATGCTGACGCTTGGATGACCAAGAAACAAGGTTGTCCCCAAGATAACAGCTATAACCCGATGCGGAACGACGGGTGTCGGGACAACCCCCAGTTCGCGTCAGTGTAAGTAATCAAACGAGTGTAAGTAATCAAACAATGAGAAGCAGATGGATATAAATGTAAGCCATGATCAATGGTACCCTGAACATAACGCAATATGCGTTTCAATGCATCATAATGAGATTCCCGGGGATCAGTACCGCGTAGGCATATCTGGCTTAGTGAAGGTGAGATACTGAAGAGCACCATGCTAAACTGCGATATAAAGTAGGATCCCGAAAAGGTGGTCTTGCATCTGCACTAAGTTTGGACTTAGTGTCAACTGGAGTAGCTGCAGGTTTACAAGAGCCCATACCGGCACGCTCTAAAATCTCCTTCCTTTGAAAGTAGCAAATAAGAGGGAGTACGGGTCACCGCAATCCCTAAGAAATAGCCGAGAGTGCCCAAATCAGTCATAAGGAACTCAGTTTGCAGCTGAGATCCCTGCACGCAACCTATCTGATGAGGTCGCTAAAATAATATCATCAACATAAAGAAGCAGATATGCCATATCATCACCCTGCCGGAAAGTAAAAAGAAAAGTGTCACTCTTAGTAACGACAAAACCCAATTTGGTCAGAAAGTTCGCACGCAAACCGCTGATACCAAGCTCTAGGAGCTTGTTTCAAACCATAGAGAGCCTTTCGAAGCCGGCAAACATAAGAGGGTGTACGCTGATCAACAAAAACTGGGGTTGATGTATATAAACTGTTTCCTGTAAATCACCATGTAAGAAGGCATTCTTGACATCTAGTTGATGAATCGACCACTTTTTAGCCATGGCTAAGTTTAGAACAGTACAAATAGTGGCCGGTTTAACTACCAGACTGAAAGTCTCATCACTTCCATCCCGTATTACAATGAATAAAATTTCTACTCCTAAGAAAGCTTAAAGAAGAGGCCCCAGGGTGCCCTAGGCGACTATGCCAAGTGGTTGGTGAAGCAGCCGTGAGGGAAGTGGCTAAGCATGTAGATGGATGAGTATTAGTGATAGGATAAAGATCTCCCGAGCTATTGCATCTCGTTATTATGTTCACCGTTCGAAGATCCTTCACAAAAAAACTAAGAGGGTCAAACTCAATAGACACCGAATTATCAGAAGTAAATTTTCAAACAGAAATTAGGTTCTTAATAATTTGAGGTGCTAAAAGGACATCTCGGATAACTAATTTGGTTGGGGCAGGGGTTGTGTGACCATAACCGGTAGTTGGAATACGATGACCATTGCCAACTAAAATATGATTATTAGTGCTTAAATTAAACAAGGGCAAGAGATTACCGGAGTTGTTGGTCAAGTGGGAAGATGCGCCCGAGTCCATATACCATCCATCATTCGGGGTTGCCAAGGTCATGGTGGAGAAAGCGTTCCCGAGATCCGTAGGAGTCATGAGAGGACCATAACTAGGAGGAGCAGCCACGTAGGCTTGCTGTTGGGCATGAGGAAAAGGGGGGGGGGGGCAGCCCACCTTTGAGGGAAATACCAAGGTGAAGGCCATGCATAATGGCCTTGTTGTGGGCCGGCCCACTTAGGGGCTTCTTGTGAAGGGCCTTGCTGATTACTCGGTTGTGAAGAAGAGTTGGGAGTTTGCTTCGCTCAAAAACCACAGATTTCCCCCTGCCTTTGCCATGACCACGGCCTGAGCCGCCGTTAGTGCCTCTGCCTAGCCGCGACCAGAGCCACGACCACCGGAGCCGCCGCCGCCGGAGTTGCTTGCAGACGTCAAAGATTGGTGCGATTGACCAGAGGATGCCGAATCCGATTGTTGTGCAATGAAAGGTTGAGCCGAATTGGATTGATCATTGGAGCACCTCGTTTCCTCAAGAAGAAGACGAGACCTCGCTATTTCAAAGCTTGGTAGTGGTTCAGTTTGAGCCAAAATCGCAGCCACGATGTCAAAGTCAGTATTGCGGTGGCCGGCTATAAGACGCATCACGAACACCTTCTCAGAATTCGGGTGATCAACGCTCGCAAGTTGATCTTTGAGGCACTTGAGCTGTTTGCAGTAGGAAGAGACATCCGAGAACGACGAAAGATGGCAATCTGTAAATTGCTTTTCAAGATAAAGAGCCCGAGTCGCTTTATTGTCTTGAAATATGGCCTTGTTTTGTCCCACACCTGTTGAGCCGTATTACCCTTACAAAGAACCGTGTCAAGAAGATCGGTTGAGATTGTGCCGTAGATCCACTGCTTAACAATGGAGTCAAGCCGTTGGCATAGGGAGTCTGAAATCCCGGTTGGACGAGGCGTTTTGGAGCTAATATGGTCGAGCACATTGTATGCGTGAGCGTGAACCTCGAATAGTTCCTCCCAATTTGAGTATTTGGCGGAATTTCGATCAAGAATTAGAGGTATACAGTTCTTGATGTTGGTGACGGAAAGGGCTGGATGAAATTCAGTAGGTGGAGGAACGAAATCATTGTATTGATCATTCGAAGTCATGATGCAGTTCGGATGTTGTTAATGGAGGAAACATAATGCGGAAGTTAGGTGATGCAGGTCCACAAAGAAACGAGAAAGAAAAGAAAAAATCGTAAATTTGAGATCGTAACCTAGAGCTATGATACTATGTTAGATTTCGGGAAAACTCGTCAAATTGGAGTGTGTACCATTGATCAATATATATAGAGTTGTACAAAATATCGTAAACCTAGTACGATAAGGATACAAGGAAAATACAATTATTATCCTATTCTGCGACAAATATTATCATTACTATAATATCTATCAGTTATTATAAAGTGTTATTATTAATATTCATCAAAATTAGTATGTATTGCTTCAAATTTCGTTTCCTAGTTTAGAAAAGGGATTTGTCGAGTATACATTCTAATGTGGCTTACTAGATTATGGCAATAGTATATGAAAGTACGATATTTTGTGATTATAAGACGGCATTTTATCCTAAAAACAGGTCACTATATTCCTGAAATTGATCTAAAGCTTGTATTTTTTACTTGTATGTGCTAAAAACTGGGTAGTTTTTGCCATCATGTCTTACGTAGTCACGTGTGTTGATCATTTTGGAGGGTATTGCAATACATGAGTACTTATAGCGGTTCAGGATCAAGTATGTCTTGCCTGAACTGAATTTTTATTGGGGAGGTTGGGGGCACAGCTACTAGGAATGATTGAATAGGTGACTCTTTAATGTGCTAAATATTGTCTAGATGTCTACACGATCAGCAGGCTTTTCAATTTACCGTGAATTGGACTAGCTACCTTAAACGCTAGTCTTTGATGTATCATACCATGTCATTTATTAGTTTGTATAGCTAAGTGAAAGCTTAAACCAGCATATTTTCATTGGCTTTAGCGACCTTATGTTGTGTGTGTTATGAAAATACATTGAGTCCGTTTATTTATAAAATGTGGGGTTGATTTTAGTTTCTGATTGAGTGAGAGCACTCTAATTATATGGTATGAGATGAATTTTGTAAAGTCTTATGTATGAGCAGCTGATGCTTTGAAAATTTCCTTAAATTTAGGAGGTCACGGGTTAAATTTTACAATAAATTATTGTTTGTTAACTTGGAATTAAATTTATTAGATTGGTGCTGGCAAGACTGAAGAACTTTCAGTGAAAGTTGAACTCATCAAGCTTTAGATTCTGCTGTCTTCCATTAAATTTCTGATTTCAAGTTAAATATTCATCGCTAACAGCCTCTTCATATAAGCTTGATATCTGCTGCTGAAAATCATGGAATGATATTGTATGTATTACCTCTTTTGAGTATGAATAAAAAGGTTTATATTGATAATGACGGACGTCCCAAAATGCAATATGGCAAATACGGACGAAGAGAGTAATGTATTACACTATTACCTGTTTGCTTTAAGAAAACGAACATGCCTAGCTGTGTTATGTGTCTGTGTTTTTTGTGTTTTTTGATTCTTTCCTTTGTTCATGGAACTTGGTATTGTATCATGTATGGCTATTGTTTCAATCTTTTACCTCAGTTTGAAACTGAGATGCATCAATTCCTGCCCCATCCTTCATCAAGGTAAGTTAGGAGTGTGCTTTTGTTGGGCATAGTGAGTGGCATACACATACCTTCATTTTGCTGGTATTATCCCTGGATGAGCAGGGAGTGTGAAACTATAAAATATTGTGGTAGATCTTGTGAGGTATTTTGTTGGAGCAAACTATAAAATATTGTGTAATGGACTCTAATGCTTTCTATGTGACCTTACCTACAAAATCTGAAATGTTCCCGTGTTTATAATGAAGGTGCTTTATATAAAAGAGCTTGAAAACCTACTGCAACAAGGCTATGTTCTCAAAAATCAAATTCCTTATTAAGGTTTACCAACATGTTGATATAAGAACAACCTCTGATGCTCAAAAATTCATTTCTCCTTATCCTTTTTTTTTTCCAAGCCACAAATGCCTCAACTTTCCTAGATGTGCCCTGTCAACCCCAATTGAAGATAGACTCAAACGCCACATGGATAGCCCCGGGGATTTTTTTCTCTTAGTTGGGACTTTTATTTTTCCAACTGACAGGAATCATAGAACTGTATTTCCATTCTTCAAAATCTTCTTTTTTTCCCTGGTAAAGTGTATTATCATGGAGTGCTGTATCTGAACCACCACATCTCTTTTCTGTTATGATGACATCATAGGAGCTTCTCTTAGACTAAAGTCCTTTCTACTTAGAACTAATTTTTAATATGCAGTAGACTGAGCCAAGCACTTAAATGGCTATTGCTACATACTCTTGGATATATGATCAATGTTCTCATTGTTTTGCCTCTTGACTAGTTTGTTGTAGCTTATTTGGAAATTGTCAGGGGTTTTTGTTGTTCAAGTACTAGCCATCATGCTGCTTTGGTGAGATGTGAAATTAAGCAATGGAACTTGTGAGCTTTCTAGCTGGTGGGAAGGGGGAAGGGGATTTGCGGGGGGGCTAATGTCGGTGGGGGTGATGGCCGGTGATTCCGCCGGTAAAGGAAGGGTTTCCGGCGGCAGTGGGGGTCTCCTGTGGTGGGGCTGGTGGCTGGGTTAGGGTTTAGGGGTTTTTTTTCCCATTAAATTTTTGTTTTTATTTTTATTTTTCTTTTTTTTAAACCAATGTCGTATTGACACGTGTCCATTGTGGGTCCGTTTAACAGATTCCATCCAAAAATCCGTTAGATGGTGGTGAAATCCAATTTTTTGGTTTTTTTGTGGTGTTATAATAAAAGTTTGAAAATTTGTGGTGTTATAATCCAATTTTTGAGAAATTTGTGGTGTTATTTTCTAATTTTTCCTTCTTTTTATGGAAGAATCTTGAATTTGCTAAGGATGATATGATATGATCATCTGCTATTTATGTTTGACTGAGCTACATTTTTTAGTCATAGGCCATACTGCCATAGGATAAAATGGTGAGGATCCAGCATCTTATGCGTCTAAGATCTTTTGAGGACATATTTTTTTTTTTTTTCATCATATGCATGCATATATGGTGAAATCATTGCCATGAATATGATGTAAAAAGTCTTAGAACTAGTTTTTTTGAGAATTGATATCAAATAATTTGAAGCTTAGTTTTCATTATTTACTACCTCCGTTTCATATTATTTGCAACGATTTGACATAAAGTGTGAGTAGAGAATGTTTAATTGTTGCATATAATATGAAACGGAGTTAGTATGTCTAGATATATTCACAATTTTAGTGATATGATGTGTAGATGCTGAACTCTAGTTATGTAACCAGATTGGCCATTAAAATTTAACTTTTAATTTGCTGGTGAATTCCATTCAACCAGTTAGGCTGTCAAGTTGATTACACAGCTTGAATTTCTAGTGTTGTCCAGGATACAATATTAACATGTTTTTGTACGCATTCCTTGGGCTTAGTTGGTAGATGTTTGGATTCTTAAATTTTCTTTGTTGTTTGATCCAGAGCTTCAATAAATTAAAAAAATGAAACTTGTTGGCTCCAACTTGAAGAAAAGAAAACAGTTAGCTGTAGCTGCTGAAGACTTAGGCCTGCCTGCACCAAAATATGTATGCTGTGAGGCAACTGACAAATCTGAATGTGGATCATTACGATCTGCGAATGAAGAGGATGCAGAAGTACTTAACATGTTGGTTGAATCAACTCAAGACAGCAATAGCTTTCCGGGAGGTTCACAGTCATCTGCGGAACTGATTTTTGATGCAGGTTTTCGAAAGACGGAATCGTATGATGAGGCTTCTACTTCCTGGGCTGATTCAAGACCAGTCACATCCGAAAGTGATTCCCTTTCGTTAGAGAGTGGAATTTTCAATGCCAAAGGGGATGGTATGGAAGAAAACCATCTTCCTCTTCAGGATAATACTGTTGGGTGGTATGATGTTGACTGTCTGGAGGAGTGCATCGACGCACAGTATTACAGGGACAGCAAGCAACATGTTTCTGAACAACTCGATGGGTTACTTTCCTCCAGTGGGATTCCGTTGTCAGATAGTTGGATTGCTGATGGAGGTAATTTAGTCCTTTATAATAGAAAACTTGAATAAATTTAACATGTTCACTATCTAACACCTAGCAAATTAACACCTGTGTTTGAAGCCTTGATTTAGTAGAATTTGGCTTGGGTTCTCAACACCCAAAAAAAGGGTTTGTTCTGGGTTTACAGGAAATAACACGCTGGCTGTTTAGCCTTTTCTCTTTTAGAAAGCACAATCTGGAATCACAATGGTAGCGGGCTTTTATGTCTTTCTGAATTTAATTTCAAAACTGGTAGTTTTTCGGTTACCAATATATATGTGGAGAACTTAGAATTATTCATTCTAAAGACATTATATTGTTTGGATGCAGAGGCGGATAGGGGTAGACAGAAGCCAACAATTGATCAGGAATTCGAGCAATACTTTTCAACACTTATGTTGTAAGAGATTTATTCCTCGTTGAGTTCACATTCCTGTTGTATGTGACCTATGTAAATATATCAATAATGTATTCATATACTTCTCATTTCAAATTGCCCTTAATCATTTTGAGTCCAAATCTCATCTCTTATGTGCTAGATTTCAATTAAAGATTACTATTATTTCCAATTTCCATCACCTTCTCTCACACGTAATTAGCTATTACTTTGCAGTTGATTGTTGACAGGATTGTATAAACTTTTATGCCAATTAATTTATCAGCGGATTGATTAGAGGAATGTTAGTTGATGAAAGGATCAAAGGGATACAATAAGATACAGGGATGTTCCTGTGAATACTTAATAACACCTATATTACACGTAAAGACATAATTTCAACATTTATGTCAGGGGATTACTGGTCTTCCCAACTTCTCTTTCATATATCCATCTCCCTTAATTTGGCATTGTCGGTGATTATTGTTCTCATTTTGCTTTGTGTCTCGGTTCTTTGAAAGATTGCCTCCCCCTATTCTAAAGAACAATGCCTTAATCTCAAGGCAAGAGTGAAACTCTAATTTCTTGGGTTAAACAAAGTGGAAAATGCTCATGTACTCTGGTACTTTGAGATAAACTACTCCGTAGATTGAGTTTGTGCTAAGTTGAAGGATTTACATTTAGGTTTTAGGTTTTATTAGTTAATTTCTAGGAGTTTGTTTTAGATCTTAGGTTTTGTTTTGTTAATTTGGCTTGGTAAACTTCAGTAGAAGTAGAACTTGCAGATTTTTTATTTTATTTTTTTCCTTTTTTCTCTTTGTTTGCATCACATGGGAGTATAATTATCCATGTTATTCCATTTGTGATCCTTTTATGATTACAATTAAATAAATATTGATATAGTTACAGTTAAATAAATGTTGTCTCTTGCCTTTTTTTACAGACACTAAGTTTTGAAACACTGTTTAAGTGCTTATGTTGTGCTTGATGCTGCTTCTGCTTTTTGATGCTGTTGTACTGTATTTGTACTCCTAGAACCATTGTAAATTTTATGTTTTTGAAATGAAATTGTAATTAAACATTACAATCCTTTTTATATTTTTTGAGTATCTAAGGCACCAGTACGGTTGTAATAAAAAATTAAAAACCAGATCTTTGTGAAGAGCAACTAGCCAACTACCCATTAGACCTTGAGAAGAAAGATTACTAGAGAATGATGCAACCATGTAGCGACTGAAGGTTTGGTCGTTTGGGAAATTCTTATCAGTAACAAGCATTAATTTGGAAAAGAAAAGGTAATGTTCGGAGAGACAATGGTTTTCCTTGGTCCTTATTGCACAATTGAAACAGGAGTGAAATAGGATGAAATGGAGTATGTTACAGGCAAAAAGCATGATGTAGGCACCTTTGGATTGACCTACAGTGCCTGCAGGCTGAGGCTTCAGCTTGCATCACTGCACTATAGTGGAGTCTAGGCCTGAACCATTCCTGGTGTATACAGATTCCATCACGCTATTCTCTATGCTTCAATACGAGGAAGGGTGGCATGTTTATCCTCATGATCATAGGGGAAATCCGACGACTTGGGATGTGCTTCCAAGTCTGTAATGTTCTGAAAGTTGATTGAGATCAGGTACATAGGGCTTACCATATAGCTAAGTTGCTAACCAGTGTCGAATTTGTTCAGTAGATTTATAGCTATATAGTATTAACTTTTTAATGTTTTTTACTTATGTTTCAATTATTTTTTTTTAAAACTCAAAGAGCATATACAAGTATTAGAAATGAAAAGATCAGCCTACATCAAGTTCAGCAAGGAAAATGATACCATGCGGGAAATCATGTAAATACATATGCTCAAGGCCATTAGGTGGGACTTGTCTCGCCATTAAGTGAGCTACACAATTGCCCGATTTCTTTACATGAAAACATTCCAAAAAACATCAAACTCATTACACATAATGTCTCAATATATTTATAATCCATTCGTTATAGACAAACTTCTTTCTTTTGGCAGAGTAAAATAATTGACACACTACCTTAAATGGTAACAAAAATACACCATTGTTAAATTATAATTACCATACCTACCATTTCAATAATTTTTCTCATTCTCACATGTCCCATTTTGTTTTAATAGAACGAACATACACTATATTTATTAACTTTCTTTTTTTTTTTAAAAAAAAAAAAAACTAAATTTAGGAACTTAACTTTACATTAAATAACACATTTTATGATATCCACCTATTTTACTACCTCCATTAACTTTTAGTTGTAATAAATGGATATTATTTGTGAGACATAAAAAACTCCTTTGTTGCAACTAAAATTAACGGAGGTAGTATTAAACTTTGTATTCAATGGAGTGTGTCAATTTTTTTGAAACAAAGGAGTATTTATATTAATGGTCAAACTAGTGTGTTTGCAAATGTGTCAAGTTTTACAGTTATTTGGAATAAAGTTGTAATACTTAATTCTCCAACAAGCCGCTTTTAACTAGGGTTGTTCACATTAGGTTAACAGTACCGTTAAGCTTTAACGGTACGGTTAACCGTTAGACCGGTTACTTAAAAACACGAACCATAACCGTACTATTAAAGAACGGTTAACCGCAACGGTTAACCATTTCTTAGCGGTACGGTTATCGGTTAACCGCTAACCATTAAATAAATTATAATCAATACTTTTTTTTCTCATCCAAGAGTTTCAACTCTAATACAAATTTTCATATAAACAAGAATAAGCTCTAATTAGTTGATTACAAATCAATAAAGATTCTTTTAGGGTTAACTTACTTAATTATACTTCTCTTTTCCTAAAAAAAAATATAATTTTATTTTAACGGTTAACCATCGATTAACCGTTTACTCAAAAGTGTAACCGTAACCGTAACAATTAACCGTCGTTCGGTTATTCGTAACCGTTTATTTTTAACGGTATGGTTAATTAACCTATAAAATGAGTCGGTTATAGCGATTAACGGTTACGGTAAACGGTTATGGTCTTTTTGCACACCCCTACTATTAACACAGTTAATCCAAAACTTCATGCAATTAAATTGTTGCACTGAAAAAACAGAAAAAGAGCATATAAGCTAGAAAAATAGTGTAAAAAAGAAGAAGAAGAAGAAGAAGAAGAAGAAGAAGAGTGTAGTGCATATAAATAGATGTAAAAACTGACCTGATGCGATAATTGACCTAACCTAAAAGTGATTCGAATCAGAATTGAATATGTATAGATACAGTGAGTTAAGAATGACTCAAACTAAATTAGAATTGACTCGACAAAATTCTATTGAACCCAAATCGGTGATTCGAATTAACACCTCTAGTTGCTTGGCTTGCTCGTAATAAGTCAGTCGCACCGTAAGTGTCAATTCGAATAATTGGATCGAGTTCATTTGAGTTTGATGAATCCAATCCAAGTTTGAATCATGTTAAATCACCAATTAACCGTGCCCAATACAAGTCAAAATCCAGATTAAGTTACTTTAGACCAGCCCCGGGTTTGACTTTGACACTTCTAGTCGCACAGCACTCAGCCTATCAGCCACTCCTCACAACTTCATCACATCACAGATTCACAGTGAGGTTGTGAACTGAGTCACCAACGTAAGAAGAAGATCCCAGATTCAAGAACATTATCAGTCTTCCCCACCTAAACTTCTGCAAACATGGCAGGTATCTAACTGCATTTGCGCATTTCGCCTTCCTTAATTCGCTTTCCTTATTTTTGTTGCAAAAAAAAATCAAGAGAAATTCTAGCTGAAAAATGATAATCATTTTTGAAATTTTTTGTGTGCAGGTAAACGAAATTCAGATTCAAATCGGTCTAAACCGAGCATGTGGTTGGCCCAAAATCCGAGCAAAAGATGGGGGGAGTTGTTTTTTCCTGCTCTACACTCCCTTTTGGCTTACTCTTTGCCTTGGGATTGTTGTCCCCTTCAAATTATACGAGGTTTTACTTCTAATCTCTTCTTTAATTCACCATTTATGGCCATAATATTTCTGGGTTTCCTCAGATTTTTAGTACATTTTTGGGTTGACTTTGAGTTAAGGGTAGCTTTAATTCTAGAGAATTTATTTTATTTTAATTATAAAGTGCAGCAGATGGCAGTGATGTAAACGGGATTTGTTCGAAATGTGATTTATGACATGTTGAGATATTTATGAATTATGATATCATATTGTAAATTAAGTGGTAGTCAAAGTTGATTACAAGATTATGTGATTTTATACTCCATAACTAGTGATAGTTTGAATGATTAAATTTTATGTAATACAATGTGATTATTGACAGAATTTTAAAGAGCTGGAGTACTTGCTTTTGGCTATGATTTCAGCTGTCCCATCATTTGCCATACCTATGTTTTTTGTTGGAAAGGTAATATTTTGCAACCACACCCTTTTCATAAAAGATTTCCCGGATTCTTATCATGTATGCCTTGGTTTATGTTGATTGAAATGCTGGTATTCAGGCTGATGAAGGTACTCCCTTGAAGAATCGTTATTGGGTGAAGGTTAGTTTTTTTTTATTTTACTATACCGAAAGCTTTTGATTTGTTCATTATTTGATAAGATGTCATTCACCTAATAAACACGAGCTTCAATAATATCAAACACTAATAATAAGCTGCATCAATTGTTTGTTAGTCATCATCAAAACTAGGAATCGTACAGTATAGTTTCGGATATTTTGATTGTTTATTTATGTTTATACCCACCCGAGCGGAGACACGCCTTCACTGCTTGACATCAGCTCAAGCTCGAGCACTGAAATGAGAAAGGCTTGTAGACTCGAGTTTATGATATAGAAGTTTTTGGAGCATCTGGATATTGCATTTCAACTTTGGCATTCTACTTTATGTCTCAGTTGGATACTTGCAAATGCTGTACTCTTTTCTTTCTACGCTACAATCTTGTTTCTTATTTCTAATCATCTATGGATTGAATGTTAAAGCAGTTGAAATCTTCAGGGTCTAACATATTTGATGCTGTAATTTCTCCTGTTTGCAGGCAAGTATCTGGATCATATGCTTCAGTTATGTGGGTAATTACTTTTGGACCCACTATTTCTTCAAAGTGTTGGGAGCTTCATATACCTTCCCATCATGGAAGATGAATGATGTGAGCCACACTGACTTCATTGTCACTTTGGTGCTGAAATCATTTTAGTCACCAAAACTTTGTTGCTT